TAAATACATGGTTTATCTAAGATTACAAAGTAGGAAACGTCACTAATAAGTCATTTGATTAATAACAAAGTAAGATCCTAGGAAGGTTGGAGGAATCAATACAACCTCCCTTCTAAGTCCAATCACCTTAAATAGCAAAGCTACCATTTTGACAGATATTAAATTAACACAATGTCTACATGAGTTGACGATAAAAAAAGAATAGGTAGTATAAAAGATATGTATAGATATATAATAATTACAAAATCATGTCTTAAATACAACATGGGATTTATCGCTTACAATCTCAAAACACGTTTACAAACTAGTTTCTAATCCTCCTAGGGTAGCCGTACATTCTCAAATGCTTCAGTTTTGTCTTCGAATGGTCTAATAGTCTTCAATGCCTGACATAAAATGTCATCATGTCTTAAATGCCATGAGTTTTGAATGCCCATGAGTTTTCTCAAACACCCCATTCTTTTTTTCCAGTTCAATACACAACAACATTTAAAAAAAAATAGAGGAAATGATCATGGCATTTAAGTTCATGGCACAGATTATATGGTTAGTTGTTAGTAGTCTAGAAATCCCCCAAAGAGATTTCATCCTCCCAACTCCAAGAATTGGACGCGGATTATTTGGTATGCCCCATCTTTTGCTATTTTGTTGCAAACCTTACCTCGAATGCCTACCAACGGCTATATACAACGTAACACCAACCGCAAGGCCTCAAAACAGATGGTAATGATGGGCCTTGCCCAAATCCCTCCTTACACCGAACTACCTAGGGTCCAAATACAACCGCTCTATTCACGGATTATGAAACAACCACTTGCGCAAGATTTAACTTACCAAAGGGAACACATTCTACTAACCAATAACTTCTTCTCATAATAATAATCGGGTGATCGAAACCCCATTAACCACCTCATTAAGTTTTCCATTAGATTAATCGTTGTAATTAGTTAGTACAAGCGAGAAGGAAAATAAATTTGCGTAAGTGTAAGCATCATCAAAGGGCAAAAAAAATACATAATCATGACATGTATAATATCATACCAAGACAAGAGGTCAACTAGGGGAAATTTTCCAATTCTCTTGTGATGAAAACATGCTAAATAATATGTTTTAAACTCATAAATTTAAGGTGAAGGTGTGCCTTTTGAAAATTTGAGAGATTGATATGGAAAAAGGTAGTCTTATACCGATTATGAGAAATACATGAAGAGTAGAACCAAGGCTCAACTCCTTTACAAGAATACCATCAAAACACATCTAAAATGAATGTTTAAAACTTCTAAGAGCATGTATTTGTAAGGAAAAACAAGAGAGAGTTGTGCTGTGGCTTAATTAAGGCTTGTTGGAATTGCTAGTAAACTTCTCTTCCTCTCCAATCTTCCATCAATCTCACCCTCCTGCCTCTCTTTCTCTTAGCCGAATATAGTGTGTGTGTGTGTGTGTGTGTGTGTGTATTCTTGTATGTAAAATGCTAAGGGAAGGGTTGATTTTATAGAAAAATTGGTGTGAAAGATCCAAAATGCCCTTTGGTTGGAATTGAATGAGATGTTTTGGATTTAGTTTGAATCCAATGAAATAGTGAAAGTTTAGAGGCCTTAATTAGATTCCTAAACATGATCTAATTAGGGTTTTCCTCCTAATCAAATCAACCTAGTTATATATGTACATATATAAATATATATATAAAAGTTTGTACCAAGTTAAAGATATTTTCCACAATTTATGCAAACTTGTCTCAAAAGTACATTCATCATATCTATATAGGTAATGGTTGGCACTAGATGGTTATTTGAGGGACTTATTTTATTATTTATTTGTATACAAATGCTGGAAATTGTAAAGTATGGTGTATAAAATAGATTTTAGGGTAGAAGTGTATATATATAATGGTACTTGTTTGGGGTCAATTTTGTTATTTAATGAAAATGTGAGGGCTTTGGATTTAATTTATGAATTGGAACATTTATTTTAGCGTAGAATTAAATTAAATTAGGGTTACAGAATTTAATTCGGTTTGGATTTCTTGTTTCGAATAAAAAGGCGATCAACCGATGAACGTGATAAGGATCGAAAAAACCTAGGGTTTTCAAGTGGTAATTCCACATTTAGGAAGTCAATTAATCAATATTAGGGTATTAAAATTGATTCCTAAGTTACCGAAATCAATTTGGGTTTGTGAGTTTTCAATTGGCGTGCGTTTTCGACTCTATAGCTAAAATTGAAGACAAATAAGGAATCAAGGGTCTCTATTGAAATAGTTCAAATGTAAGGGTCAAAATAAAATTACAGAGGTTAGGGCCTCATAGTTAAATAAGTAATATTAGTGTGTAAAAATGATTACTAAGCTATCGGGGTTGATTTGGTTTTGTACAAATTTATTCGCAATGTGTCTTTGATTCTAGGGTTAAATTTGTGAATAGACGAAGAACTAATGGCTTTATTATAATAACTCAAAATTTAGGGACTTAATAGGGCTTACAAAAGCTAGGGGTCTCACAATGCTCGTTTGAAAACATAATTAATCCAATGATTGCAGCATATAACTAAGGGATGGTAAATATGGCTTAAGTAAGCCTTAGGTTGGTGTTTGCAAGTAGGCATATCAAGTATTACCAATGCCACTTTACTAGCTCCTAAGTGGAAAGAAATTGGAACCTACTTTGCGCATGTTTCTAGGTTTTCACCATGTCAACTGCACTACAAGAAAAGTGGGCTTAAAAGAAGAAACTTTTTGTGATGGCACATTTGTCGTCGCCGTCGTAAAAAAATGACTTTTTGAGAAGGCACAATTTGCCGTCGCAAAAAAATGTGACTTTTTGAGACAACACAACTTGCCGACGCCAAAAATGTGACTTTTTGCGACGGCACAACTTGCTGTCTCAAAAAATAGAGTATATGCGACGGTAGAAATTACTGTCGCAAAAAAATAAAGTTTTTGCGACGGCACCAGCTGCAGTCGCAAAAAAAAAAAAATCACTCTTCTTTATCTGTCTGTCTCTCTCTTTCTCTTTGTGTCTCTGTCTCTCTTCTCTTTCTCTCTCTCACTCATCACTCTTCTCTGTCTTTCTGTCTCTCTCTTTCTTTCTTTCTGTGTCTCTATCTCTGTCTCTGTCTCTTTTCTCTTTCCTCTTTCTCTCTCTCTCTCATCACTCTTCTTTATCTGTCTGTCTCTCTCTTTCTCTTTGTGTCTCTGTCTCTCTTCTCTTTCTCTCTCTCACTCATCACTCTTCTCTGTCTTTCTGTCTCTCTCTTTCTTTCTTTCTGTGTCTCTATCTCTGTCTCTGTCTCTTTTCTCTTTCTCTCTCTCTCTTATCACTCTTCTTTATCTGTCTGTCTCTCTCTTTCTCTTTGTGTCTCTGTCTCTCTTCTCTTTCTCTCTCTCACTCATCACTCTTCTCTGTCTGTCTGTATGTCTATCTCTCTCTTTCTCTCTGTGTCTCTCGCCCATCTCTCTTCTCCCTATCTCTCTCATCTCTCTTCTCTTTATCTTTCTGCTCTTTCACTCATCTCTTTCTGTCTCTCTCTCGTTTATCTTTTTTCGCTCTTTTTCTCTCTCTCTCTATCTATCTCTCGCTCATCTTTTGTTTCTCTCTTTTTTTTGACTCTCTCTATCTCTCTCGTTCATCTCTCTTCTATCCCTGTCTTTTTTTTTCTATGTGTCTTTCTATTTAATCTCTTTTCGTTTTATTTCTCTCTCTTTTTGTTTATCTCTTGCTTATCTCTTGTTTCTCTATCTTTTCATGTCTTTTTCTCTCTCTATCTCTTTCTCTTTCTGTCACTCATTACTCTTCTCTCTCTCTGTTTGCCTGTTGTTTGTTTGCCTGTCTGCCTCCTCCACTGTGTTCGCCTTGCTCAGTTTCTCCCTCATATCTTCTCTATTTATTGAGCTCCTTCTCGATTTATCGTTCTACTACAAAAAAATGTACTTTTAGCGACCACTTTGTCTCTTTCTCCCTTATCACTCTGGCCTCGTTTGGGAACAGGCCAATTTAGTAACTTCTTAGCTATTTGGCTAAAATATGAGCTAAAAAAAACAAGTATGTTTGGGATGACTTTTTAGCTTTTTACGAAAAGATGTGCAAAAAGTAGAGAGAAAAGATAATATTTGACTTTTTGGTATGAGTTGCTGGCTTTTTGGCTAATTTAGTAACTTTTTGACTTTTTGGCTAAAAACGAAGGTTCCTAAACGAGGCCTCTGTCTCTCTCTTTGTCTCTCTATCTCTCTTCTCTATCTGTCTCTCACTCATCTCTCTCTCTCACCACCCATCTCCTCTACCACATTTACTACTACTGCAAATGCTATTCCACTACAACTACTACTACCACTATTGCCACTCCACCTCTACGACTACCATTACTTCCACCGTCGCCATCACTCCACTACCAACACTACCACTACTGCCACTACTACTACCATTATCTCTCCTCTACCATCGCCACCCCATCTCCATTACCATTACCACAACTTCACCATTAATCTCCTTCGTCATCCCCACCACCACCACCACCTCCTCTTGCCAACCACATTTACTACTACTGCCACTCCCTTTCTTGTACCACAAAAAATAAGTTCTTGATTTTTAGTAACAAAAAAAAAAAGACCGCAGAAAAACATTTTTCATTGATAAAAAAAAATTAACTTTATTTTAACGGGAAATATTTTTCATTAAAATATTACCCCTACTTCTACCAATTTTTTTAAAAAAAAATTCATTAAAATAAAAATGAAACAAATAAATTTTCAACCTTAATAACTAAAAAAAATAAAAAATAAAAAATCATTAACTATAAAAAAAAAAATTTTTTAGTCACGACAACTCTCATTGTAAAAAAACACAAATTAAACGGTGCCGTTTATTGTTTAAATATTCATTTGTGACCAAAAAAAAAAAAAAAAAAACGAGGCTTTAGCCTTTTTTTTCCCCATTCCCGCTCAGTTTCCCTCCTCAACCAAAAATCCCCATTCTCAAAAATCAAAAATCAAAAATCCCTAATCTCTTCTTATGGCGCTCTCTCTCTCTCTCTCTCTCTCTCTCTCTCTCTCGCCGGCGAACGGCGGCCGACGACTGCGAGCGGCAGGCGACGGCATCGAGCAGCGGCAATCAATAGTGAAGATTTCTCTCGATCTCATAAACACAGCGCAGCTCTCACTCTCATCTCATCAGTCTCACTCTCTCGTTTTTCATCTGGATCGATCGGATCAACCTTGCAAGAGATCGACTCTCTCTCATCACAAGATCGATCGATCGACTTCACTCTCTCATCGCACCGATCGAGCCTCTCGGCGAAGAGACCGATTGACCTTCGAAAAAACCAATCTGCTCTGCAACTCACAGGTAAGCTTCTCTGTCTCTGACTCTCTCTCTCTCTCTCTCTCTCCCCGGCCTTCTCTTCATTTCTGTCTGGCTCTGTTTTTTTTTTTTTTTTTTTTTTTTTTTTTTGACTCTGTTTTTTTTTTTTTTGTTTCATCTCTGTGTAAATTCATCAAATTCGTGATCTAGGCTACTGTGTAAATTCATCAAATGAATCAATGGCTACTGTGTAAATTCTTCATCTAGAAGAAAGGGAGGTTCTGAAGTGTTGTTAGGTCTGTAAAAACATGAATCTTGAGATTTTCATACATAAGTACATTGGATTGATTGGATATTGGTCAGTATAATTATGAATTTTTTTTACTATGCTTCTACTTGGTTGATTGTTTGTTTTTGTTTTTGTCAGTATAAACATGAATCTTGAGATTGTTTTTTCACTATGCAATCAATCCCCACCGACATGCCTCACCTCTCTCGAGTCCCCGGCGTTCTTTCCACTGGTATTTATCTATTTTTTTACTGTTTGGTTTGTTGGAAACGCTGGGAAATTATAAAGATTGGGAAAGAAAAAAAATATTTTGATTTTTTATTTGATGGGTTATTATTAAGAATACAGTATGGTTTTCTGAAATGGGTTATTATTAAGAATATCAGATACAGTATTTGAAAGCAGTTTGGTCAAACATTTACTATGTTGCTTTCATTTTCTTTATTTTTAAGAATACAAAATAATTTTCAAAGACAATACCAAACAGATGATTCTGGATTTAGGAGACATTTGCTAATTGCTGTAGTCTCAAAAACTTTAATGTTCTTCAATACTCAAATAATTGGAAATGATGCATAGACTTGTTTGGCAGTATATTGTTGAAATTGCTACATAAGTTTTTTGTTTGTTTTCGTATTTTCACTATTAATCTTTATTTTATAGCTAAACTGAAAGCCAGATGAAATGGAGTTTGCTCATTCTTTGTTTGCACTTATGAATCTAACTGCTTCTTGATAAACTTTGTTTACACCTTGCAGGAAATGGAGTTTGCTCATTCTTTGAGGTAGAGCAAAGTGAACCTTAAGATATGCCAGGTGATTTCTTGATTCACATTCAGTTAGCTATTAAGCCACTTGGGTCGACTTTAGCTTAAGACTAAATAGTTGGATTGGAGCCAATGGAAGGAAGATTGAGTTTTGGTTTTTCAAAGGTTGATGCTCTGAAGTTCTTGTCTGTGGACTATAGTAGAGGACTTCTGTCCTTGTTCAACTTGGTTCTTCTGATTACAGCTAGGAGAGTCAATTATTTGTTTAATATATGAACTAACATTGTGGTGGACTTCCTAAACACTCACCTGATTTGCTTGCCATTGCTTGCTTTCTTCATATATGTAAGCTTAGAAGTTAGAATTTTATTGGCTAGAGCCTAGTTATTGATTCAGATGGGCACCTTCTTTACACACGACCGTCTAGGCACGAGAGACTTGTGGGAGAAGACAAGACTCGAATCGGGTTCCTGATTTGGGAGTTAGAGCCGAATTTCGGTCTAGGCAAATTAGTTCCTTAAGAAACTTGAATTTGAGGTGTTGACGCCCCAAAATCACCAAACGGGGTCGGATTAGCACGAAACTTGGCACACACGACCGTCTAGGCACGAGAGACTTGTGAGAGAAGACAAGACTTCAATCGGGTTTTCGGTTTGGGAGTTAGAGCCGGATTTCACTTTAGGCAAACTAGTTCTTTAAAAAACTTGAATTCAAGGTGTTGACGTTCCAAAATCATCAAATGGGATCGGATTAGCACGAAACTTGGCACACACGACCGTCTAGGCACGAGAGACTTGTGAGAGAAGACAAGACTTCAATCGGGTTTTCGGTTTGGGAGTTAGAGCCGGATTTCACTTTAGGCAAACTAGTTCTTTAAAAAACTTGAATTCAAGGTGTTGACGTTCCAAAATCATCAAATGGGATCGGATTAGCACGAAACTTGGCACACACGACCGTCTAGGCACGAGAGACTTGTGAGAGAAGACAAGACTTCAATCGGGTTTTCGGTTTGGGAGTTAGAGCCGGATTTCACTTTAGGCAAACTAGTTCTTTAAAAAACTTGAATTCAAGGTGTTGACGTTCCAAAATCATCAAATGGGATCGGATTAGCACGAAACTTGGCACACACGACCGTCTAGGCACGAGAGACTTGTGAGAGAAGACAAGACTTCAATCGGGTTTTCGGTTTGGGAGTTAGAGCCGGATTTCACTTTAGGCAAACTAGTTCTTTAAAAAACTTGAATTCAAGGTGTTGACGTTCCAAAATCATCAAATGGGATCGGATTAGCACGAAACTTGGCACACACGAACGCCTAAGCACGAGAGATTTGTGGAAGAAGACGAGACTCCAATTGGGTTCTCGGCTTGGGAGTTAGAGTCGGATTTCACTCTAGGTAAATTAGTTCTTTAAGAAACTTGAATTCGAGGTGTTGATGCCCCAAAATCACCAAACGGCGTCGGATTAGCAAGAAACTTGGCACACACGAGTAGGAGTGGGCGCGGGTCGGTCGCGGCCACGGAACCTCCAATCCGCCATCCGTCTGCTAGATTGGCGGCTTGAAGAAAATTAATCCGCATTTGTCCATCAATCCGACGGATGTGAATTGAGCGAATTAGCAGTTTGGCGGATGGATGTGAATCGGTTTGGCGGTTTAAAATTTTATAAATTTTCAACATAATTCAACTTGTGCACTTCTTCAAAAAAAAAAAAAAAACAGAGTATTACAGTCAATGACTTAAAAAAATATTACAATCATTGCATGCATCATTCAAAGTAAGAAAGTTTGAAACTTTAGAATATCACAATCATTGCATGCCTCATCCACATACTACAATCACAGCATGCCTCATCCACATAAAGTATTACAATCTGTGGTTCTTAAAATATAAAAACAATTCAAACCACTAAAACCATTAACAGAGCAATAGTAGAGATTGTATGCCTATGTATTGTTACATCTATATCTGTTTTTGAAAACAAAAACCAACCAGCATATATCATATTTTCTATTTATTATTTTTAGAGATAGATTTAAAAACCAAAAAATATAGTAAATAATACGCTTATTTTTTTCAATTCAAAAAAGATATTTAAGTTGAAAACTTTTTTTAACAGAATATTTAAATTCTTTTTTAATTGAAAACACAAACAGAATATTTAAACAAACTAAAAACACAAAACTTTATAAATTACTAGGAGTGCTCGCGGTTAGGCGGTTCGGTTGCGGCTAAAGGAATCTCAAATCTGCCATCCGTCCATCAGATTGGCGGATTGGAGAAAATCAATCTGTAACCGTTCGCTTGTCATCAAGCATCCGTCCAAAATGCGGCGGATCGGTTGGGTTCGGTCGGTTTTGGCGGATCAGTATAACCGTTGCTCACCCCTACACACGACCGTCTAGGCACGAGAGACTTGTGGGAGAAGACAAGACTCGAATCGGGTTCCCGGTTTGGGAGTTAGAGCCGAATTTCGGTCTAGGCAAATTAGTTCCTTAAGAAACTTGAATTTGAGGTGTTGACGCCCCAAAATCACCAAACGGGGTCGGATTAGCACGAAACTTGGCACACACGACCGTCTAGGCACGAGAGACTTGTGGGAGAAGACAAGACTTCAATCGGGTTTTCGGTTTGGGAGTTAGAACCGGATTTCACTTTAGGCAAACTAGTTCTTTAAAAAACTTGAATTCAAGGTGTTGACGTTCCAAAATCATCAAATGGGATCGGATTAGCACGAAACTTGGCACACACGAACGCCTAAGCACGAGAGATTTGTGGAAGAAGACGAGACTCCAATTGGGTTCTCGGCTTGGGAGTTAGAGTCGGATTTCACTCTAGGTAAATTAGTTCTTTAAGAAACTTGAATTCGAGGTGTTGACCAATGTTTTAAAAACCGGACCGGTGAGTGAACCGAAAAAATGATCGGGTGGACGGGTCACCGGTTCAACCGTCGGGTTGAACCGGAATCGAACCGTTGAACTTACCAAAAAAAGAAAAAAAAGAAAGGTAGATCCTTCAACTTATACTAATATGATGAACAAAATATTCCAGTTCAGATTCAATTACTATATGCTGATATGCCAGTAGCTAGGGACTTCATTTTTCTTGTTTAGAGGCTTATTACCATTGATTTTACTGCTCTGTGTGCTATTTAACTTGTTACAAAGCCTTGTTTTTAGTGTAACTCTGTTGGATTTTATGTCAATTTCATCGCTGATATGAACAATTAAGATTACTGGAAAATCTGTTACTCTCAACATAGAGAGTTCTAACCTGCTGAAGCTAGCAGATGCTAATTTTTATTTCGAGTCAGCTTGAGGATGGTCGCACTGTGGCAATGCATTTTTCCATTGGTTAAATGGTGGATTCCCATAAAAATAAAAATATAAAAGAAAGAAAGAAAAGAAAGAAAGAATAAAAAAAACAAAGAAAAAAATACAAAAAATCCGTTTTTAAAACCCGGTGAACCGGGACCGGGTCAACCGGTTCGGCGGTTCAACCGGCGGTTTTTCCGGTTCTCTCAAAAGAGGCCGGTTTTCGACTATGACCGGTTTACTGGGTGTACCCGGACCGGAACCTCGACCGGTCGGCGGTTCAACCGGTTGAACCGGCCGGTCCGGTCCGGTTTTTAAAACCATGGTGTTGACGCCCCAAAAACACCAAACGGGGTCGGATTAGCATGAAACTTGGCACACGTGACCGCTTAGGCATGAGAGACTTGTGGGAGAAGACGGGACTCAAATTGGGTTTCCAGTTTGGGAGTTAGAGCCGAATTTTGGTTTAGGCAAACTAGTTCATTAAGAAATTTAAATTCGAAGGGTTGACGTCCCAAAATTTCCAAACAACGTCAGATTAGCACGAAACTTGGCACACACGACCGTCTAGGTACGAGAGACTTGTGGGAGAAGACCAAACTCCAATCGGGTTCCTGATTTGGGAGTTAGAGCCGGATTTCACTCTAGGCAAACTAGTTCCTTAAGAAACTTGAATTCAAGGTGTCGACGCCCCAAAATCATCAAACAGGGTCGGATTAGCACGAAACTTGGCACACACGCCGCCTAAGCACGAGAGATTTGTGGGAGAAGACGAGACTCCAATCGGGTTCTTGGTTTGGGAGTTAGAGCCGGATTTCACTCTAGACAAATTAGTTTTTTAAGAAATTTGAATTCGAGGTGTTGACGCTCCAAAATCACCAATCGGGGTCGGATTAGCATGAAACTTGGCACACATGACCGCTTAGGCACGAGAGACTTGTGGGAGAAGACGGGACTTCAATCGGGTTTTCGGTTTGGGAGTTAGAGCCGAATTTCGGTTTAGGCAAACTAGTTCATTAAGAAATTTGAATTCAAAGGGTTGAGGTCCCAAAATTTCCAAACAGCGTCGGATTAGCACGAAACTTGGAACACACGACCGCCTAGGCACGAGAGACTTATGAGAGAAAACGGGACTCCAATTGGGTTCCCGGTTTGGGAGTTAAAGTCAGATTTCACTCTAGGCAAACTAGTTCCTTAAAAAGCTTGAATTCGAGGCTTTGACATTCCAAAATCACCAAACGGGGTCGGATTAGCATGAAACTTGGCACACACGACTGCCTAGGCACGAGAGACTTGTAGGAGAAGACAGGACTCCAATCGGGTTTCTAGAGCCGAATTTCGGTTTAGGCAAACTAGTTCATTAAGAAATTTGAATTCAAAGGGTTGAGGTCCCAAAATTTCCAAACAGCGTCGGATTAGCACGAAACTTGGAACACACGACCGCCTAGGCACGAGAGACTTGTATGAGAAGACGGGACTCGAATCGGGGTCTCAGTTTGGGAGTTAGAGCCGTATTTCGGTCTAGGCAAACTAGTTCCTTAAGATTAAGAAATTTGAATTTGAGGTGTTGACGTTCAAAATCACCAAACGGGGTCGGATTAGCACGTAAACTTGGCATACACGACCGTCTAGGCACGAGAGCCTTGTGGGAGAAGACGGGGCTCGAATCGGGTTCCCGGTTTGGGAGTTAGAGCCAGATTTCATTTTAGGCAAACTAGTTCCTTAAGAAACTTGAATT